ACAATACGGCATGTAGTTGCATCAAACAATGGTATAAACATCATTCAATGTAAATTGCGATAAAGTGTGCACTATAAGCCAGCTGCACTGTTGACACAGGAATTGTCACTTGCACAATCGAGGCAGTGTCGCATCGTCACTGGCAAGAATTTTAAAAGCAATTTATAAACTTCAGTGTTTAACCATTCAGCGCTTGCGCGCTCTCCTGGAGACTTCTCTCATGCACACTCGAAGCGCACACAATGCCAGGTTCACATTACTCCGTTTGCAGTGCATATGTGGTGCATATTTCTCCGCGCTCATGTTAACGTTAGCATTCACACTGCACACGGTTGCGGTCCGGCAGTGCGTTCCAAGAGCGGTGCGTCTGCAGCAGTGCAAAGATGGTTTCCGCTGCACTCGGTGAATTTAAAGTAACAGCGCATTGTTTGCGGTAAATATGAACATGGATTGACACTAAAATATAGTAGCCTAATTACACCATAAATATAATTAAAATCTACGGTGTTTCACAGTCAACACAGGGTATGGCTTTTTGGCTAGGTTTAGGTAGTAAAACAAAGTTCTTTATGAACCTTAGGATTGCTTGTAATAAAGATTTAAATGCAATAGAAAAGTCAGTAGAGCTGACTATCTGTCTATGGTAAGTTTTAATGTTTGTGATGACCTAGGAAAAGTAGTTTAGATGTTTTGCCACTTGCTTGAGCAACTTAATATATAAATCTAGAAGTAAATGCAAAAGTAACAAGCATTGAATAATGTGTTGCTTATATTTATTGTTTAAACATGTCTGTGAAAGATTGTATTAATGTACTGTGTAAAAAAAATAAATAAAAAAATCACTGCTGAAAAAGCATTTTAAGTAACTGTTTGGATTTGAAATCCAAATAATGGATAAATGTTGTGTTTGTGGAAAACAGCCACAGATCAGGAGCAGGCTCCTGTGGGAAAGCACAGTCCGTGCTGCTTCTGCACCGCTTGCAAAACCACACATGGACTGCATACACACTGCAAACGGAGTGTGAACCTGGCATAAAAGGCCACCTCACATATAGCTCACGAAATAAGGCTTGTGTTGTATGTAAGCTATTGTGCAACAATTGCACGATTGTCAACCAAAATGCAGTGCATGATCAAACATTTAGGTGAGAAATATATTTTTGAAAAATGTCTAAAAAATGCCCCCCTCCACCCCTCAAATTAAAAAAAATCCCCTCACAAGAGTCCCCTAAGAGGGGAATTCATTTTCAAAAATGAAATTCAGGCCCTGAATAAATGTCTAAAAATCTTGATTGGATCATCACTATAAATAATTCTACATAAGAAGGCTTTAAAAAGATTGGTATCAGTGATCGGTATCGGCAGATACTGCTTTCTGTGATCGGCCTCAAAAATCCTGATCGGAGCACCCCTAGTAAAATGAAAATAAATTTCAAATTAATAAATTGTGTATATAATACTAATTTAATTTATCTAATAAATACACTTTGAAGTTAGTTTTATTATCATCATTGGTTTTACCCCTATATGAAAGGGGTCATATGATGCAATTTAAATTTTTCCTTTCTCTTTGGAGTGTTACAAGCTCTTGGTGCATAAAGATCTGTAAAGTCTCAAATCCAAAGAGATATTCTTTATAAAATTTCAGAGTCAGCCACGCCTACCTAAAACTGCTCATTCTAACACGCCCCCACATATCTACGTTGTCATGTCAATGCCGCCCAAATGTTCACGCAAAGAAAGAAGGCATAACTTTTATTCTCGCTGTAGTATTGTTGCTGCCGCCATGCCATGAAGACGCTGTGTGTTTAGTTGTAAAAGTGAAACTACTTTGTTTGGCCTTCCAAAAGAGGACACGACTAGAAATCAGTGGTTAAGTTGTATTTACAACACTGTTCCAGAACAGTTCAACCCGACTGTTTCCTGATCCTGGGAGAGTAGACTACAATGCCGGCTGTTCTTATTCAGACTGCAAGTACGTTTTTTTTATATTTAAAGAATTTGCCACTGATGATTCAAATGCGAGTTTTGAGCAGTGTAGAGTAGCGCTGCTTGTTTGTCATTTCTCCGATCAGGAATGCAGACATGGTTTTATGTTTATGCGGCATGATGCAACGCGTAAAAAGACAGTGTAAGTCATTATGATCCGTAATTGTCCCCACTGGATGCAACAAATACCTCGTTTATAATGGGTTTTATTGGTTTTGTGTCATCCTGCTGGGAGACAGCATCACAGTATGGTAGGGGCGTAACATTTCTGTGACGCGCTTGAGGTATTCGGCCAATCACAATGCACTGGATAGCTGGCCAATCAGAGCACACCTCGCTTTTCAGACTGATGAGCTTTGTAAAAAATCTACACGTTTCAGAAAGGCAGAAAAAAATGTACAGTATGTGGAAAGTTTTTGGTTTTGTTTTTTTTTTTACCTTAAACCGCATAAACATTTCATTATACCAAATACACAAAATAATGTTCTTTTTAGTAACATCATATGACCCCTTTAAAGGATTACTTCACTTCCAGAATAAATCTCCTAATAATTTACTCACCCCCATGTTATCCAAGATGTTCATGTCTTCAGTCGCAAAGAAATTAAAGTTTGGGGAAAGCATTCCAGGATTTTTTTTCCAAATAATGGACTTCAATGGTGGCCAACGGGCTGAAGGTCCAGATTGCAGTTTCAATGCAGCTTCAAAGGGCTCTACACGATCCCAGCCGAGGAATAAGGGTCTTATATAGCGAAACTGTCATTTTCTTTAAAAAATTTACATGCATGTACTTTTTAACCACAAATGTTCATCTTGTACTAGCTCTGCGATGCGTTGCAGTGAATATTTTAACAGGAAGCAAGGAACAACAGTACTGCATAGACATTTCCTGTCAGCACGTTATTTGAGCGGACTTTGCTTTTCCGGTGAGCATGAGCGGTACACGAGCGGAACGCACATTCATAGATCGGAATACTGAGCGGCACGTCAAACCGCGCAGCGATGTGGAGAGTGAAATCTGCGCACTGAACACTGCCGGGCAGGGCGCGGCACGCCATATGTTATTATTATTATTATGTAGCCTATATTTTCGGCTTCTATTTTCAGCCGTTTTTTCCTCTTTCAGCCAAAAGGTTTCTGCCGAAAATTCGGTGCGTCCCTAGTGTTCACACTTGTCATGTTTGGTTAGATTAAAACGAACCCTGGTACAATTGCTCTGTTAGTGTGGTTCATTTGAGTAAGTGTGAACGCTGCCATCCGAACCCTGGTCCGCTTCCAAACGAACTCTGGTCTGGTTCGAATGAAATATGAACGCGAAACAGACCAAATACTTCTAAACGAACCAAAAACAGGAAGTAATGACAAGATGTGACACTATGCCACATGATTTGATGACGCGTCATCAACAAGGAGGTAAAGTTCCTTTTATGAGCTCTTTGTGAGTTCGCAGATGGTAAAAATAAAATCATAAGTACATGCAGCAATGAGCGCGCAGACGGCATTAGGTGTGTTCAACTTAAAGTGGCGCTGAGCAGACTGATCGGTGAATTGGTACTTTGAGGTCATACACCGATCAGTCTGCGCAGCACCACTTGAAGTCAAACACAGCTTTTGTTTGGGGTGTTCGGTGAGTTCCGTCGCGAAATATACGTCATTCAACCAGACCAATGCCTTTAGGTTCGGTATCTTTAGGTTCGTGGTCAAAAATGCCAGTGTGAATGCTAAGCGGACCAGGACCAAATTTATCGATTTCTTTTTTGGTCCGGACCAAACGAACCAAGAGAACCGAACTAAAAGTGTGAACACACCCTAAGGCAGACAGAGTTGCCACTCACACAAAACGAGTCTCGGGAAAGTGCTGTAAATGATTGCCCATGATTTTCAGCTTTCCATGTGTGCGTGACAGCTGCTGCTGCTGCTTAGTTGATGCCTATAATTTGGCTCACGACACAGAGCCCGAGACAGTTCCGTCGCGAAATATACGTCATTCAACCAGACCAATGCCTTTAGGTTCGGTATCTTTAGGTTCGTGGTCAAAAATGCCAGTGTGAATGCTAAGCGGACCAGGACCAAATTTATCGATTTCTTTTTTGGTCCGGACCAAACGAACCAAGAGAACCGAACTACAAGTGTGAACACACCCTAAGGCAGACAGAGTTGCCACTCACACAAAACGAGTCTCGGGAAAGTGCTGTAAATGATTGCCCATGATTTTCAGCTTTCCATGTGTGCGTGACAGCTGCTGCTGCTGCTTAGTTGATGCCTATAATTTGGCTCACGACACAGAGCCCGAGACGCGTTTGTTCGCTGCATTCTCAGGTGTGCTGCTGAAACACCTGTGCGGTGGCTGCGGGAGCCGGAGGTTGGTCCATATTGGTTGCACACTGAGGAGATTATAGAAGGCGCCCGAGGGTCACAAACCTCAATTGTCTTGAAAGTGGTCAAGTGCAACTCTAAAAGATTATGCATTTGCAGTTTGGTCACTGTAGAAAAACGAATTTGACTGAAGTGAAACTCATGGACGACACATGCCATCTACCATGATCTCCAACCAGTTGGAAAAGCTGTTTCTTTGGGAGATTTCTTGTACATTGAATTTGGATAAAGAGCTTAAGATCCACAGGCATCACTTTATTTTAGTTAATTTAATTTATTTAAATTTCATGCTTTGATTGAATTTATATTTTGATTTTATGTATGTGTTTTTATTTCTTTTGATTTATTTTTATTTGTATTTTGAAGGTGTTTTGGATATTTTGTTTGTATTTAAATTTAATTCATTTTTATATTGTAGATATTTATTTTGATATTTTAGATTATATATTTTTAGATTTTATTATGTATTTTTATTTATTAATTATAAATTAAGTAAAAAAAAAAAAGTACTATAGCTTAAAAAAAAAAGAGGAAATCTGTGTAATGCATTTTGTACTCACCATTTGCTTTTAACAGGCAATCTTCTCTTGTCTGTCTCGATGCTTATATTGGCTGTTCTTCTGTTCTGTCAACAGAAAATCTCAATACCGCAGTCAGAGAATCCAAATGAGCTGCGTACGTTTACGTTCTACCTGTCCAATGTGGGAAAGGACAATCCCCAGGGCAGCTTCGACTGCATTCAGCAGTATATTACAAGGTAAGAAGGAAAATAAACCACATATTTCAGACAAATTCATGACTCTCTCAAGGTAGTGTAAAGATTTTTAATGTACAAGTATGTTTGTATTTTGGAAAGGAAATGTTGCCATGAAAAGAGTTGATCTGATGTTTGAGCGTTAAAATGTGATTGCATCCATGGCATCATTACCAGCGCCATCTGTTCCTTTCTCCATTCCCTCTACTGTTCATCTCCGTACGAACACCAGAACAGAGAGAATAAATTGAATTTGGCCAATTGTCCAACCAAATGAGGAAGAAACAAGGAATCCAAATGCAGACTTGCTGTTAATGTCTTCAAATGTTCACAATAAGGCCGAAGGGTCAGCAGAAGTTCAACCGTATCCTTGTAAACTCTGGGATTCTCTTTAACTCTCATGAAAGGACTATTACAGTATTTTATCTCATGCCACAATCTTTATTCCACATCATAGATATCAAAGCTAAAAAATGTTACGCAATTACTGGGCTCTTTCTTTTGAATTGGCCTATTGTTGTAGATCTGTGTTAATGTTTCACTGGCTTTCTCATATATCTTTTCACTATCTTCAGCCTGTTGCACCTCATAATCTGCTAATTTGTCATTTAGCTGATGCTTACACCTAATGAAAGTATTACAGGGACAGTCTGGGGTTAAGTGCTCGCATTGGAGGTCATTGTACAGTGATGATAAAGACGTGGTTGTTAACGACTATGTCTTTAACAACCACTTGATTGCATGACTCCTCTGTATTGTGAGAGGTCAGTTTAGTTTGGTTTATCAGGTTGACTATTGAGTTTGTTTTTATTTATTCATTTTTATTAAAAGAATTCAGTGGATTTTTTTAAAATTATAAATGTATTTTTTATATTAGATATGTGAATTTATGCTTCTGTTCAAAAGTTTGGGGTGGATACAATTTATTTATTTTTAAAGTCTCTAATGCTCATCAATGCTGAATTTTTTTTTTTAATCAAAAATATTGTATAAACCGTAGTATTGCGAAATATTACACAATAAAATAACCATTTTCTATTTTAATATTATTTAACATGTAATTTATTCCCATGATTCAAAGCTACATTTTTTGCAGTCATTACTCCAGTCACATGATCCTTCAGAAATCATTCTAATATTATGTTTTTTTTTGTGTTCTTCTGCTTACTTTTTCTTTACTTTTATTTCTTCTTAATAATGTTGAAAACAATTGTACTGCTTAATATTTTTTTGGAAACCATGATTTTTTTTTTTTCAGGATTCTTTGAATAAAGTTTAAAAACATTTATTTGAGATCGAAATCTTTTGTGACATAAATGTATTTTTGTCACTTTTGGTCAGTTTAATGCATCCTTGCTGAATAAGTATTAATTTCCTGAAAAAGGTTTTTTATTATTATTCTTACTAACCTCCAAACTTTTGATAGTGCAAATTTATAAGATTTATATGGATAAGTATAATTTGAAAACACATACTGTTTGTTTTTATCTCTGTTGTTTCCGTAATGTATTAATTTACCATTTTTATGCACATTTCATATTTTGAAATTGAGTTGAATTAGAACAGAAAATCTAGTTTAGATTAGAAACTCATTAGTTGACCTTACAAACCAAATGTATGTTGGTTTTATAGTTCATCTATAATGAATTACTTCAAATGAAAAAACTTCTCCTTCAAGTTGTCAGTTTATCTGTAGCACCGCCACTACAAATTCACCAGCTTCAACAAAACATTTCAAGACAATTACTGTCAGAATTCAGTCTGCTGTGGTGGTATGCCTATTGTCACTGTTTTTCTCTGCAATAAAATTTATTTATTTAGCCCTAAGAAAAATTACAGGTGGACATGCTCCTTAACTAGCTAAATTATACAGGACTTCCTTTCCAACTAGTTCAGACAACCTGCCAATTAGTTTATTGCGCATATTGCATATATTTGCACAGGCATGGTGGGAAAGCACTGTGCCTTGACTGTGATCAGACGTTTTGACTCCCAGTACTGCCAGGCTTAGTGCAAACAGCTCAAGGGCAGTTGACAGGATTTCAGGGAGGATGAGCCGGTTGTAAGAAACCTCTCTACAGGTGTAACTTTTAGAGGACGCCCATCCGACCATCTGGGGCTGTAAATGAGCTATTGCAACACATTTTAAAATGGATAACTGGTGAAAAGGTGGCGTAGTTGGTGGCATTTGGAGTGTCTGACAGGCTTGGTCTCTGTCCAGTGAAGGGAGCATACAGCTGGACTGCCTGGGAGGGATCCAGGACAAAATCACTGTATGCGCCACGGACGACTCCTACCAGAAAGCCAGGCAAAGCATGGCTCAGGCAGAGGAGGAAACCCGCAGCCGTGGAGCCATCGTCATCAAGCCTGGCGGGAGATACGTGGGTAGGTTTGATGCATCTCGGGCTGCCACATTTGAATGTATGCAACTGTTCCTTCAACGGAAGAACCTCGTTTTGGCCATCAGCTGGTCAAAATCTGATCGGTTTACACAGTGTGCATAGACAGGTGGAAGGGGGGCGGGGGGCCATTAGAGCCAGTTTGTCTCCACATGTCTGGAACTGCAACGTGCTACAATTTATGAAGCTGTCTGTTCCGGTGCTCGCTGATGAGACTGCTTAAAGGGGTCATATGATGCTGCTAAAAAGAACAGTATTTGGTGTAATGAAATGTTTGTGGTTTAAGGTTAAAAAAAAAAAAAACATTATTTTCCACATACTGTACATTATTTCTCCTCTATGCCCCGCCTTTCTGAAACGCGTCGATTTTTACAAAGCACATCGGTCTGAAAAAGCAAGGTGTGCTGTGATTGGCCAGCTATCCAGTGCGTTATGACTGGCCGAATACCTCAAGCGTGAGATGGAAATGTTACACCCCTACCATATTGTGATGATGCCCTGTCAGGCCGGAGCGATGATTCAAAAACATGAAAACCCATTATAAACGAGGCATTCGTTGCATCCAGTGGTGACATAATTATGGATTATGACTTATACTGTCTTTTTACGCGTTGCATCGCGCCGCGTAAACACAAAACCATGTCTGCATTTGTGACTGGAGAAATGACAAGCAACAAGCACTACTCTACACTGCCCAAAAAACTTGCTTTAAATATAAAAGACATACTTTCAGTCTTTGAGTCAGAACAGCCGGCATTGTGGTCTACTCTTCCAGGAAACAGTCCTCCATAAAATGTGCTGCACACATCTGAATATTTGGGTTGAAGTGTTCTGCAACAGTGTTGTAAATACAACTTGACCACTGATTTCTAGTCGTGTCCTCTTTTGGAAGGCCAAACAAAGTAGTTTCGCTTTCACAACGAAACAGCATCACACCGCGGCCTACAGTGAGCAGAGGCCGGGGGATAAAGTGAGGAATGGCGGGAGGGTTAGAGTGAGCAGAGGCGCGGGCTTGAGAAAGGTGCGGCCGGCGATTTTGACAAAGGAGCGTCCAGAAGGACATGTGACGACTCCGAGCTGGACTCCGCTTCATCCACGGTGAAAGCCGATCCACAGCGCAAAGTTTTTGTATTTCCTCAGCAACCAGCACGGATCAGCTCCAGGCATGACGAAGCAGATATCGTCCTCTTTTGGAAGGCCAAACAAAGTAATTTCGCTTTCACAATGAAGCACACAGCGTCTTTACGACATGGCGGTGGAAACAACAAAACTACAGCGAGAATAAATGTTATGTCTTTGCGTGAACATTTGGGCGGCGTTATGCAAATCTTCCCACATAGTGACGTAGGTATGTGGGGGCGTGTTAGAACGAACCGTTTTAGGTAGGTGTGGCTGACTCTTAACTTTTATAAAGAATCTCTCTTTGGATTTGAGACTTTAGTCTTTGCAACTTTACAGATCTTCTTTATGCACCAAGAGCTTGTAACCCTTCAAAGAGAAAGGAAAAATTGAAATCGCATCATATGACCTCTTTAAAATATTATACGGAGAACTCCGCTAACTCACACTAAACTATCATTACCAAACACTAGCATTCACCAAAGGTGTTTAATGACCAAAATCAATCAGCTAAATACATTCCCACTGATCCGCAGTGCTAAGTCATGACACAACAAATAAAAATGTCCCTCAAATCTGAATATATTTTATGCATTTTATTAGTAATTGTATATAATTTAGATTACTTAATACGTATTTCAAATAAAATTATTTATTTTATAAAATGTATAAATGTGTGTGTGTGTGTGTGTGGTATATATATATATATATATATATATATATATATATACACTTTAATTAATGAAATTATAATGTTATAAAAGTAACAATCTTATTTCTAATATATATATATATATATATATAAATTATTATTTATATATTTGAAATTTATATTTTTTTAAATAGTTTAAAACCAATGATCTGGGCCCAAATCCATTTTTTCTTAAATCTGAATAAATTACCTTTTTTCAAACACATAATTAAACATTTAATGCCATTAATTGTATACACATTAAATTACTAGTAAATTTGTCTAACTTCACAATCAATAACTGATAAAGATGCTCTTGATTTTTGCAGAAAGTTGAAATTATTTAATTACTTTAAAATGCGGTTTAAAAAGAACCACTGTTCTTTTAACATTTCAACTCCCCCCCCCCCCCCCCCCCTCTCCCCCCCCCCGCCACGACGTCACCACCTACGCCGCCAGCAGCGGGCG